AAGTTAATAACAACAGAAGGGAACAAGCAGCATACGAAAATGTTGAAACAGTCTGAACTCTCAGGTATTTCATATTATTGACTCGTTGTTTTCATGCGTGGCGTTTAGTGTGTAATTCATCTATGTACATCACGTACTTCATCTAATAAGGACAATTATACTACCCTCAGTCTGCTGTACATTATAGAATCCCAAAATATCTAGGAGTGATATCAAATTTAAATTAAATACTCACAAAGTAGACTACTAAGAACAGTTACGATTGAAAGGAATTTGGAAGCCAAATTATATGTGAAATACGTACAACAAAGACTATTAAGATCCATCAATTAACAGAAAACCCTCTCCAAGAGAACTGTGCATCTCTGATCTCTGTATTGAAGAAACAATGAGTATTTCTTATTTTGAGAATTGTCAACTCCTAAAAGAAGACTTTCCAACAGAAGAAAATGGTAGATGCCTAACTCTAGCATGGAGACTTCCCCCCTTGGCACATGCATTTTATAAAAAGAGTACTACGACTGAATATGTTGCGATGAAACATGGGCCTCAATAGATTCCTAAATCGGTAGGGAAAGTGGACTTTCTGTCATCATCCACTTATATTAATCCTTTTTATTCTTATCATTCTTCAATTACGAGGAGTAACTTAAATTATCATATTATTTTGAAGGGTAATTATCACACTATTTTGAAGAGTACACTGTACAGTCAATAAATAATGAATTTATGAAAAATCAGACCAGTATCTGTGTTTGTTAGACCAAAAGCAAGATATTACAGAATCTCCAGATTCAGAGAAAAGAACAAAGAACTGCTTAGCTAAACAGAGCCGAAGAGTGATTTGGAACAGAAAACATTAATGAAGCACTAACCACCCAAAGCAGAGTTTTTGGCTTGCGAGTAGTGATGTTGTCAGTAACAAGCTTAAATCCCTGATGAGCATCAACTATCTCAACAATGGTCATCGCACCAAGTAAAAAGAACACTATTTCACTAACTTCAGCAGTTGCATGTGACAATTCTGAAAGAGCTACGTCATTAGAAGGAGCCTGCCAAGGACATAAAAGAGTGCAAAAATGTCAAACAACGCTTGGACGGAAGATAAAAAGACATCTTCGCTCTAAATTCCATTATTGTTAATAAGAAAACCATCCTAGAGCTTGTTTCGATGATCATTCAATCTCTATGATTATCATCTTATTTCACGTATGCTGGCAAAATTCGTCATAAAAACAAAATGTTTGGTAAAGCTACTTTACCACATTATGGATGAAAACTTTTATTCAGAGTTCACCAATAGTTTTCATCTTGCACCACATTATTTGGGTGTTAACAAAAAAATAATATTTAATCCTATCATGTGAATGATTAGAGATGCAGCTTAGTTTGTAATGATGTCTATAGTCATATTATTCCTACCGAAAATGCAAATAAGTAAGATCATAGCACGAGTATAGAAAACAACTTCAAGAGCAAAAGAAAGAATACAGACAGATTAGCGACCCGATTTGGACAGGGTGTACCTGATTGCTAAGATACTTCACCACATACATTTTCCATTGAACACTGCGGTATTAATGGCACAGCTGATAGCATAGACTAGAAAATAGCTGTGTTTTCAAACTTGAAAGTATCTATTATTTGGGAGATGTTGAGTTGTTTACTTGTTGGAAAGTTCAGAACATGCCCCGTGATGATAGGCTATAATTACGTATTTTAGTCGCTTATTACACTCTACTTTACTGCACTTTAATTGAGTTTGAGCTTTAATCGCTAGTGTTTTGCACAAAATATGTGTTTTATGCCTTGTAGGAGTGATTCCGATCTATATAGATGCTATGGAATGAATTCAAGCTATTCTGGAGATTTGAAGTCTGAGTAAAAGCCCAAGGATTAAGTTGGGATCATGTTCGGGGATCAACGGATGATAGTGCACTTTAAGAATGAAACAAAGAATCGAGCTGGCATACTGCGCATTGTCCAGTAAAATGCACATAACTTTTCGCTCAGAAATGCGTTTGGATTCCATAATATATCGTTGGAAAGCTATTTAAAAGGGCTACAACTTTCATGTTTTACGTTTTTCCAAATTTCCACAGCGGCGCCGCATAGGGCGCCGTGCAGCGCGCCGCGGCTGTTTAAATTGTTGCTGCCCTCAAATTGCATGCTCACTGAAATTCCCCACAAGCAAACCACGTGGCGCGTCGCCCCATGCGGCGCGCCTATGCAAATTTTACAGAGCCAGAGTCCTATTTCGCGCGGGAGAAGGTGTTTTCGTCTAAGCCGGACCCTACTTGGTATAAATACGTGTAAAAACGTTGTTTTTGTAACTTTGGACAAACTTTTGACCTAGGGAGAGCACAGAGTCGCCGTGGAGGCCGGGTTTCATCTTTTCTTCCACCAAACTTAGTATTTTTTATGTTTCTTTGTATAATTTGTTGTTTGGTTACCATGTCTATGTGGAGCTAAACTTCATGTTCTAGGGTTGTGGTTCTTTCATGACTATTGTTATTCGAATATTGATTTTGATTTCTTGACTTATCGTATTGGTTTATTTATTCAATCTTGTGCTTAATTATTTGATTGTTTGATCTCCAATTGAATATTATCTACGAATCTAGAGTTGAACTCGAAAGTGGGAATTCTAGATTGCATATAGAATTGAGTAGAGCAAGTTCTTGAGCCCGGGCATCGGGGAATGGATTCGCAATTAGGATAGACATATACCTAATTGTCCTGCTTGGTTGATTTATAGGAATTATAAATGTGTTCTTGTTAGTTCTAATTCCATAGACATATAGGCGTTAGGTTAGCTTGAATAGGCGAGTAAGAACTCGACAGATTCTTATGAGCAATATTAACCCTGTCAACCAATAAACCAGATAAATTAATTAGTCAATTCAATTGAAGAATACAATATGATTGTTAGATATCCCATAACCCTAGATCGTTTTCATTGCATTGATAACATAAAAATCTGCTATACTTTTGTTCAGAGTTCACTATTTATTTTTCTTTATTTTAATTAGTTTAGAATCAAATACTTCTAGGTTTAATTCATGTTTAGATAGTTAGGATAGTCTAATTTAGTTAATAGTTAATCACAAATCTTCGTGGGCTCGACATCCCACTTTTAGTCATTTTATTACTTGATGACCGCGTATATTTGCGTGTGCGTTTGGCTGCAACAAGCTTTTGGCGTCGTTGTCGGGATTTAGAAATTAGTTATTTTTCTAGATTAGACATTTATTTTTTTATCTATTCAATTTTTTTAGTTTAGTTAGTAGTTTTTATTTATTTTAACATGATATTTTGGAATGAAAATTATTCGTGATGGTTATTCTTATTTTGATGATCCTTGTCCATATTATGGAGGACCCCACTGGTGGAAAAAATGTCAGAATATTCCCGGTAGCGAGTTGTGTGCACAATCTCAGTCTTTTGAGTGGAATATCTGTAATATGTGTGGTGGTCAAGATGGCCATTGGGATGGTTGTCCGAATTCTTTTCATCCTTCTCTGAGCCGTTTTTATGATCTTTCTAACAGTGTTTGTGAGTTTGATAGGGGTAATGAAGTGCGGGATATGGAACCTGATGCATATATTAGGGATATTTTGAGGCAGGTAGCAGAGCAACAGGATGAACTCAATAAACCTATGAAAATAATGAGGGCAACAATCATAAGAATGAAGGCCAATATGGAAGAATTAAATGAAGAGAGCAAGTACCAGCAAAAGGAAAATTTTGAAAAAGAGGAGATTTTGGGTCAAACTTGGCTGTAGAACAAGCTGAAAGATTGAAATTATATGAGGCTCAACATGAGGAAATTACAGATGAGATGAAAGACTTAATAGAAGGAAGAGTTGAACTGGGGCAAGAAATTGAAAAATTTGGCACTGATATTCACGACTTGGAGGCTCAATTGAATGCAAAGGTTGATGCGTCTAAGGCTCAACAAAATAGTAATGAGTTGTCTAAAGTTGAAGAGGAGCTTATACGCCAAATTGAGGAGCTAAAAGGGGAGAGTCAATCATTCGAGCATATTTCTGTTGATGATGCCCATGTTGAGAAAAGTACACTAGAGCCATGCGAGGTAACAAATAATGTTATATTTGAAGACTCTAGTGTATGAACATATGAGGATGTAAAGAGTAATACAATTCTAGAGTTAGGGCATATTGGTCCTCATTCCATACATTTTTCAACATTGTGTTTGGATGATGACATGGAAATCGAGTCATCTGAGCCTTTGGAAGAGCCAATGGATGAGGAACGAGGCGTTTACACTCTGGAATTTGTCGTTCTAGAGAGACAGAATTACATACCTCATTTTAAGGCCAAGAAGTGTAAAGTGCGATATTGGTTGCTTGGCCCAATTACAATTGTCCCACCACCCCGGGAGCGTAACAGAAAACTTGATGCCAAATTAGGGGTACAATTCATAAGTTCGAGATGGAGATAAAAAGTGATTCACGTCGTGCCGCGACGTTAAATTAGGCGCTTGTTGGGAGGCAACCCAGCTTTACTACTTTCTTTTATTTTTATTTTTATGATATTATTTTTGCAGTGTTTGCTTTGATTTTGTAGGATTATCAGCATAGGAAGCAAATCCATTGAAAGAGTGCAAAAGCGAGTAGATGGTGAGAACTAAGTGTGGGGTGTCACACAAAGGACCATCCATGGGGAAGTCTGAGTACTCGTGCGCCGTTATTGCTTCGGCCTTTGGCCTTTCAGGGAGTTTCTTGTCCACCCTCGTTATTATTTTGCTTATTTGTGCATTAGGGACACTGCACTCTTTTAAGTGGGGTGGGAGAATTTCTCTAGATGATTAATTTCCCTAGATGATTAGTAGTAGTGTGTAAAAAATAAAAATAAAAATAAAAACGAAAAAAGTAAAAAAAATTTGACTTCTCCCGACGATGGATTTCCTAGACAGTTTTCTTGAGGGATCTAAGTCTAAAGAAAAAAGGACAAAAAGATTTTCTTTTTAGGCAGTGTAGTAATTTCCCTTGGTTTTTCTTTGTGCCGCGGTTCTTTTCCAAGGGTTTTGTTTGAATCGGGTGTAGTTAGTTTTAATTTTTTTAGGAGTAGGAGCCATTATGCTATGAATTGAATTGAACCAATATCTCTTGACTTCGTTATGCCTTGAAAATAGTGAGTACTTTGGTTGTGACGCTTAAGCTCAGTTTTTGACTCTTATATAAGTACTTTAAATTGTATGATCTTAACTTTGCTTAACTGCTTTGACTGGAGTGTCCTGATTAGTCCAATCCTGAGTAAGTTATGTGCCATGTGTGTGTGAGGTTTGTGTGTTATTCTGTGTTGTTAGAGATAGCTATGTAAATGTTAGAGATAGCTATGTAATTGTCCCACATTGGAATAGGAGTAGTATCCCCTTTGTATAGAGTAACTATAAATAGCACCTCTTGTATTGCATCACACACAATATCAATATATCATATTTTCTCCCGTGCCTTCTCACATGTGCATTGCATTTGATGTCTAGAACTTGCCCGGTGTGTTTGCAAAGCGAAATAGTAGCGTTGTTCAGTCTTGAAAGTGATATAGGCATTTCTTTGTTGAGCCAAATATATATAGTTTACCCGCCTAATTGTTATGTATCATAGTTAACCCTTTGAGCATGTAATCCTATTTCTTTGACAACCACATTACAAGCCTTACTCATTTGTTTGAATTAACTATCTATTTGAACCTTTTCACCTCTCATGAGCACTTGAATTGTAATGAACTTTGTAAAAGTTAAAGTGTGGGATGGTTGGTTTGGCTTTTGAGTTGAACTAATGAAATAAGGAGAAAGGTGCACTGTTTTAAAAAAGTAAGGGCCACTTGAATTGAAAAAGAAAGAAAAAAATAGTTGTATTGTAGTGCAAACATTCTTCGATAAGTGGTGACTCTTGATGTAATTGTGCTTAAAGAAGTATGGAGTTAATATACATTGATGTGAAGGTGGAGTTATGGTTTGACATAACTGTGTGGTTTTGGAAGGTAAAGTATATGTATTAAAGTGCTTAGGGAGGTGTAGTCACTC